AGGGTTTAAATCAGCAGGAAAATTTCCTCTTGGCTATCTCTGAGTTCTTCCCATTGTAGCAGAAGACCAGAGCACCCACAAGACATGAGCACCATGTAAAGACACCCACCACTGTGTCCTGTGGTGCCTTCTGCACACAACTTACACACTACATATATCCAATGTGTGAGTGTGTGTTATTGGGAACTGAACCCAAGGCTTCATGCTGAGTTATAGCATTATTCTTACTCCTTTTTATTTTCAAATTTTGAGACTGGATCTTGCTAAGCTATCCTGGCTGGTCATGAACATGTGATCCTCCTGCCTCACTTTCTGAGCAGCAGGGTTTATAGGTGTGTACTAGTAGGCTGCCTACTGTCCACTGGTTCCTATAAGACTTTTTCTGCCAGGACATCCTAGCAACCAAAGCCATTCACCCAGTAAGAGTTTATTGTTAAAAGTCACAGTGAGGATCAGGTATATAGCTCAGTGGCACAGTACTTGCCTAAGAAGCACTAGGTCCCGAGTTCAATTACTGGTATAAAAAGAAAAATTGGGGAGGTGGCTCAGTGGAATAAGCGCTTCCCTGGCAAGCACAAGGGCCTGAGTTCAATCCTCAGTTCTGCAAAACAAACAAACAAACAAAAAACCCACTGATCATTTTGGAGCCAGGGAGATGGCTAAGTGGAAAAGCACTTCCCTGGCAAGCGCAAGGGTCTGAGTTCAATCCCCATATCCGCCAAAAAAAAAGGAAGAAGAAGAAAGAAGGAAGAAGGAAGAAGGAAGAAGGAAGAAGGAAGAAGGAAGAAGAAGAAGAAGAAGAAGAAGAAGAAGAAGAAGAAGAAGAAGAAGAAGAAGAAGAAGAAGAAAAATCACAGTGACTCTAATAAGATAATTTTTTCAAAAAAGCAGTTTCAAAATTATGTGCACATGAAGCCATATTCACTAAACTCTCTGAAGATAATATTTGTTAATCTTAATCCCAAGTAAGAAGAACAAAAATCTTCAGCCTAACTCCAGAAAAGGGTTAAATTCAATTTGGAGATGTAAGATGATCAGCCATGTGGTGGCTGGTGAACCCATGAGCAAACTCAGGGTCCATGATTCCCAGGTACCAGCTGTTCAAAACCAAAGGCTCACTCTATCAGGAAGCAGGGGACTTTGAGAACCAAATCCTAGACAGGACAGATTCCCAAATGACTCTACTAATTGCTGAATCTATTAAAAGTGAAATCAGGAGGTTGAGGAAGGAGGGTCAGTGAGTTTGGGGCCAGCTTGGGCTACAGAGTGAGGATTCAATCTTCAACACTAAAACAACAGAGGGCTATTCCTACCGGTTTTAAAAACATATAGCCTCAAGATGAAGCTCAGGCTGGGCATCCAGGAAGATAAGGTGGAAGGATCACAAGTTTAATGCCAGCCTAGGCAAATCAAGTAATACCTTATCTCTAGATAGAACATCTGTAGGAAAGGTCTGGGGCTATATGGTGGTTAAGTGCTTGCCTAACATACATGAGCTTCTTGGGCTCATTTCTCTGCACTGCAGGGTGGGGAGAGAGGAGAATGGAGAGAAAGAGAAGGAAGAGAGGGAGGTTAAGAGGGAGGAAGGAGAAAAAACTCATGTAGAGTCACCATGTGAATAATCACATGGATAAAAGCAACACAATAGGTAATCCAGAAATACATCTATTGTATACAGGAAATTAAAAGTATGATAAAAATGGCGACCCAAATTAAAGAGGACAAATGAAGTGGACAAATGTGGAGCCATATGGGGGCAAAGTCAAATTACATTTCATTTATTTTGGACCACGTTTCACAGTGACCCAAAAATTTAAATGTTAAAAAAAATACTAAATGATTTTGATATGATGTCACAAACTTAGGAACTATAAAAGAATTGTATAATTATGACTTAAACTAAGTTCTAGGATGAAAATAATATTCAGAAAAGATAAATGACAATTGTTCTTATAAGTTAATTTTCCTATTTAGAAAGAGGTTCTGTAGAATTGCTAAGGAAAAGATCAGTAACACAACACAAGAGGAGGTCAGGTCAGGACAAAGCAATACAAATGGCAAAGTACATCAAAGGGCACACATTTGGAACATGAGAAACACAAATTTAAGTGCTGATGCACTACTTTTTACCTATAAAAGTTGCAAATATCTAAAACTTTGTTGGCACGTTTTATCAGGAAGAATTCATAGAATCAAGTACTTTCCTGACCTGCAGGTGGGAATATAACCTAACAAAAACAAAAAAGACTGAAAACTTAATCCTTCAATAAAGAGTCAGGTATATTAATCCACACCTGTAATCCCAGCACTACACAGGCTGAGGTGGGAGGAGTGCTGTGAGTCTGAGGCCAGCCTGGGCTACCTGCTGAATTTAGGGACAGATTGAGACCGATGAAATGAGACCTGGTCTCAAAAAAATAATATGCATAATGTGCTGCAACTAGGATTTAAAAAAAAACCACAGAAAACATTATTTAGCATTTGCTTATGTATTCACATAACAACCTTGGAAAGGTACACTAAGAGTGGCTCTGAGTGTGGTGACTCATGGTGAGCAGCCAGGAGCTGGATTTCAGGCCACTTACTGCTTAGTCTGTTATTAAGATTTCTGGAGAATACATATATTATCTAATTCAGATTATAGTAAGAGAAACAAAGTGACAATTTAAAGAAACTAAGTATAGGGAGATTATGGCCTGTAGGGTCTAAAACCTGGTGATGAGCAAGCAAATTCAAGTTTTCAATAAAGTAAAAGGCAGAGTGTCACAGATTCCCAGGAAAAGGCAGATTCTTGGCACATGGCTTATAAACACTGAGAATGGATGGCTTCTACTGAAGCTTCACTAAAAATAGGTCAGGAAAACTTTATTTCACTCTCCTTGGCTGATAAAGATACTGACCAACATACTGGTAAAAGCCACACAAAGGAAACTTAAGTATTTTATGACATCTGACAAACTCTTACAATACTCTATAGATAAGAGAGATAATGTGGGCTTCAGATACGAGCAAACAAATGTAGGCTGCTAATTCAGGAGTCCAAAGTAACACAGATGAGGACTACAGTAATAGGCTATATGCTTTGGTGCAGGGTCCTGATTAATTACCATTTCTGCTAATACTATGAAGGAAGAAAGAGAAAGGATGCTTGTCAAAATAGCAGACAATGTAAGACTGAGAGAAAAGTATTAATCAAAGTTCAAAAAGCAGTTGAAAGTCCAGGTGTGGTGGTGTGCACCTACAATCCCTGTGCTAGGGAGGCTGAACACAGGAGGATCACTATGAGTCCGAGCGTCACTGTACCAAATACATTTAAAAAAAAAAAAAAAAAAGCATGTGAAAGGCTGGAACTAGGAATTGCAAGGACACTAAAAATCTGATGGATGCAAATACAAACCTATGTTAGTTTTTTAAATATTCAAGCCATACAGTGCAAAATGGTTGAGTTCTGGTTTAGTAACAATTACCAAAGAATTTTAAGACTGGGCATGGTGGTACATAATCACGTACTTGGGGGGCTAAAAACAGGAAGATCACTGCAGCCTGATTTGTGCAGTGAGACCCTGAACTAAATACATTTAAAACAACAACAACAACAACAACAACAAACGAAAAAAGAATTTTAAGAGAATACAAAGTCAATAGTGACTTTAGGAAAGGTGTACAAAGCACTGCTGTCAGGCAGGCGCTTACACCGCTGAGTTATATCCCCGGTGACTGTTGTACTATTATTACACAACACTGAAGCTCATGATTAGGCACTGTTTTCTGTGCCTTCTACCCTCCCCGACCTAAAGTTAAAAGCAAAGGTGAGTAGAAGTATCAAAAATTTGGAAACCACAACAGAAAAAGGAATATAAAACAGTTTTGACCAAAAAATAAAGATTTAAAGGGAAAGAGAGCTGGGGGTGGTGGTGCAAGTCTGTAATCCCAGAACTTGGGAGGCGGGGGTAAGAGGATCACCATGAGTTCAAGGCCAGTCTGAGCTAAAAGTGAGTTTAAGGTCAGCCGGGACTTCATAGCAAGACCTTGTCCTTAAAAAGGCAAAAAGCAATTTATCTTCGAATAGCTGGAAGACTAACAGAAGAGGTACTCGGGTAAATCTAAGCAGGAGGAAATGACAAGGAAAATGCTGGCTCAGTAGAAAATAGAAAATTTTAATAGAAATTCAGCAGTAAAAGAATTAAGATGTGGGGCTGGAGATACAGCTCAGCAGAATAAGTGCCTGTCTGGCAAGCATGAGGTACTGAGTTCGATCCCTGGTATGAAAAAAAAGAATTACGATGTGTATATATATATACCACCAATTCTAAATGAATGTAATTCAGTACTGCCAACATGTACTATTAAAAATTTAAAATTGAAGAAATTTAGCAATAATGATTAGACTTATCATCAGAAGTATGCAAACAGGGGCTCAACTACTTCTCAGGGAAGTGTGAGGGGGGCTTTCATTAGCATGTAAAAGTAAGTTTTACAACCTTGTGATTCTAATTGAAAAGGATGGGCCACTGGACTACAGACTTCACCACAAATGAGGACACAGAACTGTCTTACATCTGCAGTTCAGATATCAGCCATATGACTTGGTTCAGTCCACTGAGACCTGCTGGATTCACAACAGTCTTTCTTTAGGTCCCAGGTTCAGCTCTCAGGTTCCACACTCCCTCTTCTTTCTCTTATTCTCAGTTCACTCGAACTTTGCAGCTTTAGCCAGGGAAATAGTCTACATCTACTCAGGGAAAATGCAAACACTTAGTAGTTGCTTAACTGAGAGTGCGGAAGGGCTATAGAAATGGCATGTTGGGGTTGGGGAGATGGCTCAGTAGAATAAGTGCTTGCCTGGCAAGCGCAAGAGTCTGAGTTCAATCCCTGGAAATGGCATGTGGCCATGAACAACTCAATCAGATGACAGAAAATCCAATGCTACTCAAGGTTTCAAGTTCTGGCTCACCAGAAATCTGCCCCTTCCAGGAGCGCTCCCTCCTGTGTTGACTCACCGTTACTGATTTCCGGAAGGTCAAACTTAGTGAAGTCCCACCACTGGAGCCGGTAGGTTGTATTGGCAATATTACTGGCCACGGCAGACTGTCCATCACCAATCACGGCCCCTGACGGGGAAGCGGACAAAAAGGACACAGTGCATTACATTATCTGTGTGTTTCCATTGCAGAACACAAAACAATATTGGGGTTATTAGGAAGGGAAGAAGAGGAAGAACCACCGCCAAGGCTAAAGACAGCTAGACTCACATCTGGCAAGTCCATATCTCAAAAAGAAACCAGACACATTTCTCAATAATCAATTTTACACGTAAACACCCCATTCATTAGCCATTCTCATTATCCCATATCCCCTTTTTGAGACAGGGTCTTGCTATGTGGTTCAGGCTGGCCTCGAACTTACAGAAATCCTCTTGCCTCTGCCTCCTAAGTGCTGGGATTACAGATCTGTGTCACTATGCCCAGTTCTTCCCATCATTAACATTTATTTTGTGCTAGCAAAGTGGCAAGTCCTGTGTATATACTGTCTAGTAGAAGGCTCACAATCTATGAAGCATACATTTCCATATAAAATGTGGAGAGAAAATGGGAGGACACCATGAACACAGAAAAACCAGAAACATTTTGGTCCCTGAATGATTTGGTAATATTGGGAGATAACACTTCTTCCACTGTGTATGAACTCTCTCTAATAAGCTGTCCCAAAGGAAGGCTTCCTCTGAGAAGTAACAAGCATGTAGCTGACTGGATGAAGAGAGGTAGTTAAAAAAAATGAGCTAATATTTGTTAATCTCTTTTGGAACCCTGGCATGTAGCACGGCAAAAATTTATGAGTCTAGCTTTGCAGCATCAGGATATTTTTATTAAGGCAATCTTTTATAATCCCCCTCCAAGAACTTCCTTGAACTGAGATTCACTTGTAATATTTCACAGTTTAACTTTCCCTGAGATATACACTTCTCTATGACATTTTTTTCCTTGGTAACCAATTAGATAAAAAATGGATTTTTTTTAACAGGGTGACACTTTAATTTGCAGTTGTATTTCATTTACATGAACATGTCACTTCCTCCTCCTCCTTCTGAGGTGCATTTCATACACAACCATCCTTCTGATCAGACAGAGCCAAACCCTCCCGGAGGAGAGAACACTGTCATATGCTAGAGAAGCCGAACAGCAGTCTCAGCTTCAAGTCAACTCCTGCTTTGCAAAATTGAACTTGTTAGCACTACTAGCCTAGGAAGAATGTTCAGTTATAGGCCTTGTTTCTTCAGCATTATCTAGTCTTCCCTCTCTGCATATCAGTGGGAACACATTTCCTTTTCCTCCCCTTTTTTTAAGAGAGTGGCATTTACTGCTCTGCTATTCCTGATGTTTCCTTACTCTTTTCAGAAATGAGCAAGTGATTGTTCAGAGAGAAAATGTTCTCCATTCAAAGCTACAAGACACTGAAGTATTCTTTTTACTCTTTATTCAGTTGCTGTAGGCCACTACATCACAAGACAATTTTAAAACTGATTTATTTATTTATTTATTGTGGGGTACTAGCATCATGGTATAGATCTAGAGTGTTCCCCAAGTGGCTTATGTGTTCAGAAGTGGGGATCAGGGAAGGGCTGGGTTGTGGGGGGTACTACAGAGAATGAGCTGTGAGGACTGGGGCCTGGCTGGAGGCCATCACTCCCCTGACCTTCCTGGCTTCTCCTCCTTTTTCCACTGCACCCAGGCTGCTAGGCCTGAGAAGCTTCCTTCTTCCATTTGCATTTTGCTTTCCAGCTAGACAATCTGGACTGAACTGTGAGCCAAACTAAACCTCTCCTTTAAATTGGGTTATCTGATATTGTGTATCAGTGATGAGGAAAGTGACTAAGACATTAGGGATTGAATCCAGGGCTTTTGCACTGAGCTACATCCCCAGCCTTTTTTTTTTTTTTTTTTTTTTTTTTTTTTAAATTTTCCACGACATGGTCTCATTAAATTTCTAAGGTTGCAATCTTCCTGCCTCTGCCTCTCAGACTGTTCATATTATAGACCAATGCCATCATGACTGGTGTAACATTAGTTTATTAACAGCTTTTCCCCCAGACGTAATTTAAGGAAAGTTGTGAATACCAGCTCAGTTCCAAATATTCTTACTGTGGACAGTATTGACTCGCAGTTTCATTCTGATCCAGGCATATGAACTGCTTCCTGGGCAGGCCTGTCTAGGATCTAGGTGGCTGACATTTCTTTTTGAGATTTCCTGAACCTTAGTCTCTTTAATTACTTTAGTTCTTTATGATTTCTTCCAACTATACTACAAAATCATAACTGAAAAGGAAAGGTGTTTTTTTTATTACACAATGAATGAAATGCTAGCTGCTAAGAGAGGAAAGAAAAACAAATTTAAGAAACAAATTTCATAATCTGGGATTTTATACTCAGGAAGAATGAAACCCTCAAACAGTAAAACAGCTCAGCAACAATCAGATGCCATCCGAGTGCTGTGGATCTGCAACTCGATGATGGAGACTCCCTCCTCCAGCTCCAGAGGCATCCTGTAGAGTCTCTGCCTCAAGAAACATCTTCTGCAGAACAGCTGTACACTGAACTAAATGCGTAGGGTGGCACTGTGGAGAGAACGGGAGGTGCTCTCTGCCAATACTGCCAGAGTGCTGAGGAGGAACACAGCCTGGCACCAGAGAGGGTAGATTTTCAGTGCCATGTAAACAGATTAGGGAGCTAAGGATGCCAGCAACCGAGTACAGCATTATCACCAGATTCTCTTCTGTAAGAACTGCAGGCCAACTGAGCCTGTCTCTTGGAAACATCAGGAAGAAAAAGTACAACCCTGTTTAAAAAAACAACTAACCAACCATTTAGTGAGCCTCTGGTCACTCTGCTCAAGGTAAGGACATGTGCCAGAGTGAGTTAATGGACTGTGCCATGGACTATTGACAGTAGAGCACTTAGCCTTAGAAAGTGACCCTGTGAGTCCACTGAGGGATTTCAAAGCCCTCAAAGTCCTCCCTGTTGTAGCAGAATGACACACACAAATGTAGGATTTTGGTGCATTTACACTGCTACCAAAAATGCCTATGTCCCCTGGGACACAAACTAGCCCTGGCTGGGGAACTCTATGCCAGAAAATACAGTTTGTATTTTAATTCCACGAAAAACACTCAGAAAATACCATTATTGAGATGCCTGGTGGTTGCGCCCAAACTGAAACCGACACTAGTTATGAAAGAAACTAATCAAAGAGCATAGAATTAAATATTCCTTGGCAAACTTCAGCTTTTGGTTTTTTTTTTTTTTTTTTTTTTTTGGCGGAACCAGGGATTGAACTCAGATCCTTGTGTTTGCCAGTCAAGCGCTTATCCTACTGAGCCATCTCCCTGGCCCCAAGCTTTTGTTTTCTGTTATGGATTTTGGGCTTGGCTTGAGCTAGGATCTTACAGCCTTTTTTTTTTTTTTTTGGCATGGTTTCAAAGAATACAGATTTCAAAGGCAAATTCACCATATTTTGACAGAGAGACTTGGTAGAACCTCAGTTCCCTTTTCTGTTAAAAAAAAAAAAAAGTATATAATAGCACTGTATTTACAACCTTCAGGGTTGTTGTTTAATAAATGCTTATTAAAATTACTTTAATCACATATGCCAATCTCTGTATTTATTTATTTTACAGGCAGAACTGTAACCAGCAGTTAATGCTAGGAGGAGCGGCACATACCTCATTAATCCCAGTACTCTGGGAGGCTAAAGTAGAAGGATATTAGGTTCCAGTCTACTTGGGAAATTTAGCCACTTAGCAAGATTTTACCTCAAACAAAACAAAACAAGGGGCTGCAGAGATAGCTCAGCAGCATAAGCCCCTGCCTGGCAAGTGCAAGGTCCTGAGTTTGACACTTGGTACAAAAAAAAAAAAAAAAAAAAAAAAAAAAAAAAAAAAGCAAAGCCACGGGAGGTCCTCCAATTTTAAAAACAATGTGGCTGGGGATTTGGCTCATCAGTAGAATGCTTGCCAAGCAAGCTGGAAGCCCTGGGTTTGGTCCTCAGCACCAAGAAAACAAAAAACAAACCTCTAAAAAAACAATTCAACCAAACAAATACAGTAAAATAAAAAAAAGACCTAAGACAAACAAGGCAACAATTTTAATTTTTTTTTTTTTTAATTTTTTGGCGGAACCGGGGATTGAACTCAGATCCTTGCGTTTGCCAGTCAAGCACTTATCCTACTGAGCCATCTCCCCAGCCCCCAAGGCAACAATTTTAAAAACAAACAAAAAAACAAAAAACAAAAAAAACCCCAACAACAACCTGGAGAAATAATTTTGTAAAAGTTCTGGGTCTAATCCTCACTATTGAGAGGAGGGGTCAAATAGCTCATAGACAAAGATATTTTGTAAGAAACTGGTTCAAAATTAATGCCAGGACCAAAAACCAAAGCTTGCCTGCCTACCTGCTTTCCTTGCTTGCCTGCTTGCCTGCCTGCCTGCCTGCCTGCTTTCCTGCTTTCCTTCTTTCCTTCTTTCCTTCTTTCCTTCTTTCCTTCTTTCCTTCCTTCCTTCCTTCCTTCCTTCCTTCCTTCCTTCCTTCCTTCGACAGGGTCTTGCTATATAGTTCAGGCTGGCCTTCAACTCTCTATATAGCCTAGGCTGGCCTCAAACTCACAGCGATCCTCTTGACCCAGCCTCCCGAGTGCGAGGATTACAGGCATGCAACACCATACCCAGTCACATTTACTTTTTAAATTATTTATTAACTTATTTATTTTGTGGGTTTGAGAAATGACAGGTGCTTTGAATATGTTACATAAATGCTACATAATACATTGAGCTATATCCACCCATTTTTTAATATTTTATTTTGCAATTTTAGGGCACAAAATGTTAAGTAATAAATTTAAAGAACAGAAGTCATAGAAAGTATGATTTTAGCTTTGAAGGGAATTAAACTAGCAATCAGTAAGATATCTAGAAAACTCTAAAAACAGGGAAATTAAACAATATACCTGTAAATAACACTGGATCAAAGAAGACGACTTAAGAGAACTTTTAAAATATTCTGAATTAGGGATGGAGATGTAGCTCAGTAATAGAGTACATGCCAAGCATGTGTAAGGCTC